TCATCCCAGAGTCCCAGGTTTGGACATGTCTGCCTTTGTCTTTTTCCTGTGCCTGCTCTCCTGAAGTGTTTGGGTTGGTTTGCCCTAAGACTGGTGGAAAATAACATCTTTGTGATGCTTCCAAGTAACCATGTTAAGTGCTGGACAGCCTTGCGCCTTCCTCTTCCTTTCCTGAATTCGGAGTGGTTCTAGCTCTCAAAGCAAGGGATAGTTATATTGTGTCCTTCCAGGTGTCTGAAGTAGCTTAAGTTATAGCTCCAGGCACCTCAGGTTGGTACTGGGAACTGGGGAATTCCCAGGGGGCAGCTCAGAGCAGTGGTTTTTGGGGTGCGTGGTTAGTGCAGAACCAGTCACAAGGTTCTTCAGCTGCCGTTGTGCAGGTGCTGTAGACCTTTAAGAACTCTTTGTTCTCCAGGATGTTTCTAAAGCTTTGGCAGAAAATTCCTAGTGTCTGATCTCTCTAGCAGGAATGCCAAGTGTGACATGACTGCCTCCAAATGATGAATGTAAAGTGTGTAGGAAGAGTTGTGCTTTGAGGGGAAAAAGATGCGTACTGTGCAGGGAAACTCTCTGATCTGTCCCCAGAAGGTCAACTCTAGGTCTTAATCTGCAGTGTAATATAAACTCTGATGTAAACTGCTGCAATTTCCTTGCCACAGAAAAGCAGGCTTCTTACTTTGTCTAGTAGAGTTCCTCCCGGGTAAGACAATTCTCCAAAGTGCCTAGTGATTTATTTTTTTTTTAATTATTTTGAATCCACTTTAGAAGTGGGGTCTTGGTGTTCCTGAAGAAGTGATTCATGTTGAACGCTTAATGTTTCAGAGACTGACCAGTAGGCTTGAGTAATCCTGGTTCAGTTCCAAAACACAGCAGTGGTCTGCTGCTTTTGGTGAAAATCGGTCCCTTCCTTCTGCTGTCACTTCCCTGGCAGAATTATTAGACTGCTTTGCATCTCCTGTGTCTCTCAAACTTAGTTCTTCTCATCGCCTTTTCTCTTCCTATTGAAGTAGGTGGCCCCTGGAGGAGGGGCACATTGTCCTGACTGGTGTAAGTGTGGAGGAGACTCTAGTGAGGTATTGGGTGGCAGAATTCCTCAATGTGAGAGGTGAGGTAACTGTGCTTATGGCCCTGCCTCTTGGCAAATGCTGGGCTTTGGGCTCTGAAATGAGAAAGCCTTCTGTCCTCTGCTGACTTCAGCTCACTTCCCCAGGGGAGCAGGAGAACCACTGCAGTGTCCAACTGTTCAGTTTGCCGCCGTGAAGACGGCACGAGGCGTTTCTTCCCATGGGTGTATCAAACCTTTTGAAGCCAAGCACGACCTGCCCTGTTAGCTGCCCTGCTCCGTAACGTGGCCGTGCCGTGCTGGTGGCCTTTATGCTTTTGCTTTTTGAAGAGAGCAAGTCGTATTTGGTCTGAATGGGCTTTAGTTTCTGTTGTGAAACCTTACGGTACCCTAGAGGGGAAGAGCTGAGTTGAAGCGGGCTGCCTTGCACATGCATGGGTTACTTGGGTGAGTGTGTTCCCTGCAGTGAGGCATATAAAATAAATGGCTTTTGTGGCTGTTGAGGAGGTGAAAGGAATCTGTGGAGCGTATTAACCACAGAAACAGCTTCTGGCCAGCTGACCTGAGCCACAAACGCAGCTTGGCAAAATACAAGAAGTTAAAATGCTGAGGTCTGGTGCTGTGTGTGCTGTTGAGGCAGAAAATGCAGCAGCGGGGCCCAGGGAGAAAGTGGCATTTGTAACAGGCTGGGAATGGGTTTGGGAGAGGAAGAAAGACTTCTGTGCCGTGGGGATTTGAGAGGGTTGTACTCACCACTGGAAGGTGCGTGCCAGCAGTAGGGCCTTGTAAGTGCACCTTATTTTACAGACAGGTATCTTTTTAGTGATTATCTACACAGGTGTAATGTGTGTGCGTGTGTGTGTGTATGCACAGTGCCTCCAGGTTAGGAAGGAGAGGGCAGAAAGAAGGTGCTTCTTTCAGTGATCCCATCAACACCCACCTTAGCCAAAGCCTGCAGGTAACTCCCTGCAGCCAGAACCCACTCTCTGGCTGTTCCAATTAGCTCCCCAGTGCTCCCAGCGTAACGCAACACAGTTTAGTTGTAATAAGCCAGGATTTTTCCTGTAGCCTGTGGGTGCGATGTACATCTCCACTGAGGGGAGCTGGTGCACTCGTTCTGAGTTAACAAAGCTTTAAAAAAATACAAGGGGAAATCTAGATCCTGGAGAAATAACGTTTTTCTGTTTTCAGGACTGCAGTGCTTGCGGTGTTTACGTGTCTTGCACAAACTGTTATGCCCCTGCATGCAAAAGGGACTGTTCACAACTGCTTTGAAGTAAAACTGCACCTGCCCTTTTTTTTTGCGATAGTCTTGACTATTTCAAGTGGCAAAATAGTGGTGTCAGTAATGTCACCCAGGAGACACGGAAGCGGTGTGGCAAATGGGGAGATCTGGCCACTGAAGAGGACTTTAAATTCACTTATGATTTAAAACCCAAAAGGGCTCCTTGCAATCACAGTAATTACTTTGAACAGTAAATTGCTGAAGGTGCAGCAAAGCAGTTCTGAACTTCCATCAAAGCGTTGTGTTAAATACCTTCACTGACATGCTCTGTTTCCTTGCAGATGGTTCCACCAAGGCCCCAATCCCTACACTGGTACGCAGGACTGGCTTTATTCTGGCAACTACTGGGACAGAAACTACTTTAATTTGCCTGATATTTATTAAAACGCAATAAGGAGCCTGTGACTGATGATACAAATTAAGTCTTAATCTGTTTTAATGTTTTCCCTTGTTTTACTTATCTCCTGAAACAAACTGACATGTTATCAAACAGAATATTCAGCATCTCCAGGGTAAATCTGGTGGTCCATGATCTGCGGTCCCAGAAGTAGGGGAGTAATTTCTCTGGCTGATGGTGGGTCCTGTGTGGACAAAGTTAAGTGGCCACGGTTTCCAGCTGCCCCGTTTGCTGAATACACCTATATTAGGTTGTGGTGTATGAGGAACAGAAGCCCTTCGGCTCTGCTGTGAATACTTTCTTTCGTAGAGAACATCGGCACAAGGAAAACCGGTTTTATTTATTGTGACATGGGAATGTTTAAAAGCACACACAGTAATGGCAATATTCTGTTCTTAAATGAAGAAGGGTGTGTCACTTTTGTAAAGATGTAATTTTTCATAAAGTGACTTTTACTGAAGTAACTCCCTTAAATCCTGAGCTCTGGTCGGAGATTCCAGAAGCCTTCCCATCTCTGGAGCATTAATGCAGTCGTTTAAGCTGGTGACATTACTCAGAGGTATTTATTCAATGTTTTGTGCAGTGTGTTTTGAATTTTGCTCTCCTGTTTTGCTACCAACCTTATGGTTTAAGGAATTAAGAGCCATTTAAATATCTACAGATTCGATTTGAACTGCACACTAGTAACAGGTTTTAAAAGAATCTGTCTCATGCACTAGAAGTTCTGGTGCCCAGCACCACTGTAAAAAGGCAAGAACCTGATCAGTCCGGGACCTGGTGGGACGTGGTGGGGTGGGGTGGGACAGGACCTGTGTCTGTACTGTGCAAACTCCCTGGGAGGAAGTCTTGTGCATTTCAAAGGTAGTAGAGCACCTCAGTGAGGCCTCCTGTGCACAGCTGCGTTACCCCTTTTCGGTGGGGTGCATTCAATCTTAGAGTGTAAGTTTATATTGAACTGTGTACAGAGCTTCTAGAGGGCAAGCTGCTCTTTGTACAATATTTTAACTGCTGTCTGGAGGTTAGTGTTAATCGGATAATTTAATTGCTACTAAATAAAGGCTTCAAAACTTCTTGCATCTAGTCTAAAGTGAGTGGTGTTCGATAGTGCTGACCCCCTTGGAGCAAACCTACTCCAAAAGCTGCTGCCGTGAGGTTGCGTGGTGGGCTTCCATCTGCGCCAGGGACCTCCCGTCCCCACTGCAGGAACAGGGTGTGGGTGGCTGGGGAGCCAAGAGCTTTCTCCTGCAGGGAGGCTGCTGCTCTGGCCTCGAGGGTGGACTACTGAAACTGTGAGGAAGGCAATGAGACGCCTTCCGTTTTTATTCTGGGCACTACTAGAGTTACCCAGGGAGCGATGCTGAGGCATAGATAAGGGACAAGCCTTTTCTTGGGCAGCCTTTCATGCGAGGGCCCCATTCTCACAGTGAGCAGGAGATGCAGCAGAAGACCCGCGCTATCTCTTGGAAGCCTCAAGCCTCTGCCCCGGCCAGCGTTTCTTCCAGCCAGTCTGAATTCCCATGCAACTTCAAGTGGCTTCTGGAACAGGTAGGAGCAGTCTGTCCTCCTTGAGGAGGTCACACAGCACTGAACACTCAGTGCCACACAAAACAAAGCATTTGGTTCCTGCCCGCCCGGGTTCAAGAGGTGGGAAAGCCTACACAGCAGCAACATTTCTTCTTTTGTTCTTCTGTTTCATAAGAACAGATGTATTATTTTTTTCTAGACCTATACTTCAAGAGCCTGGCGTATTTAAGTGACCCTACCTGTAGTTGTGAAACCTCTAAAGCAAAGGAAAGGTACTTTTTCTTAACCCCCTCCTTGATGCGTATCCTCAGCTGCCCTCCTCAAGGAACCTGTGGTTTGAAGGAATGGCCCATCCGTGAGAAGAGCTCCTTCCTCTAGTTGAACACATGACTGTCCTCTTGCTCCTGAGGTTTGTGTGCAGTTCATTCCTAAAGCATAACCCCAGCGGTACCGACTACGCCTGGTCCCACTGACTTCACTGGGGTCACCTGTCACCACCGTTGGGACTTACACCTATTCCATGTCAGCACCCAGAAGAACCTGGCCACTCTTCAGCGAAGCAGCTGCAGCAGATGTGTCTCAGCCCTCATAATTCACAGAGAGGTAAGGGTGAGGGTGCTGCGCTGTCCCAGGGAAGTGTAAAACCCATGGGGATGCAGTGCTAATTAATGGCCTTTTTGGGAACACTTACATTAAGTTATTTGATTTATTACAATGTAAACTCCATTCCTCCTGAACTCTTCCTGAAGCCCATACAGCATCTCTTCTCAACCTGTTTAAAAAAAAAAAATAACATGAGCTCAGTAGAAAGTGTGCAGCGAGGACTACTTTAATTGCTACCTAAATGCACTCTAAGGAGGGCATTTTGCTCCATCCTGAGTGTTACACAAATGCTGGAAGTTCAGGCTCCAGCCATAAAGCTGTGTATAAATGTGAGAGTAAAAACTTGGTTAGACTAAAACCAGAGCAAGATTAGTACTACTAATTGCAAAGTGTAAATGAGCGGAGATATTGGGTCTCTTACGTATGACAAGTAGCTTAACCACTGGTCTTAAACCTTATTTTATTTTGAAAAGAGTTAAATTAAGCTTTTAGAGGCATCTCCCTGTGCAAGATCCATGCAAGAAGCAAACTTCTTCATGACCCTGCCCTGGGAATAGGGCCTAATTCTCTAGTTCCCTGTCCTGTGGGTAACTTTCATAGAATGGGGTGGAAGGGACCTTAAAGATCATTGAGTTCTACCCCATCTGCCATGGGCAGGGACACCTCCCACCAGACCAGGTTGCTCAAAGCCCCATCCAGCCTGGCCTGGAACACTTCCAGGGATGGGGCATCCACAGCTTCTCTGGGCAACCTCAAAGTAAATAATTTCTTCCTAATATCTAGTCTAAATCTGCCTTCTTTCAGTTTAAAACCTTCACTCTTTTTATCAGAGTGTGGAGCAATAGGACAGAGTCCTTCTCCACCTCTCCTGTAGGCCCCCTTCAGGTACTGGAAGGCTGCTATTGCTTTACGTCTCCCTGGAGCCTTCTCTTCTCCAGGCTGAACCACCCCAGCTCTCTCAGCCTGTCCTCACAGCAGAGGTGCTCCATCCCTCTGATCATCTTTGTGGCCCTCTGCTGGACCTGTTCCAACAGGTCCATGCCCTTCCTGTGCTGAGGACTCCAGAGCTGGACACAGTACTCCAGGTGGGGTCTCACCAGAGCACTTATACCTGTGTGGTTATCAGCAGCTGGTGAGCCTTGTCTTTGCAGACATCACATCATCCAGAGGGATGGCAACCAAGCAAACATCGGGTAGGCAGGGCTCAGCCCTGGTTTCCTCTGCGGGGTTAGGACTGGGGCCTGCCATATCCGTCTCCTCAGCAGCTGGCCTGGCGACTGGGACTGGCACCGTAACGTATCTCCTCCTGGCGCCTGCACCTTGCTGTTCAAAGACAGCCTGGCCAGGAGTGGGTTCCCAGTCCTGCGCGTTCAGGATGTTAGAGCCCACTAAAATGAAAGGTGGAGCATTTTCCCTCTTGCTGTCTTCTTGCAGCACATAAACAGGAGCGGATACTTGTGACAGCTGACCACACTGTTGACTTCCCCCCCTGGACAGACGGGGGGTTCCCTGGCAATAAGAAACACCAGCTCCAGCAGGAAGGGATGGTTGTGATTTTTGACCTTGTCTCAAGTCAGTTAGGCAATAGAGGGTCCACACATTAGAAAGTGGTGGTGGCTGTCCTGCTTCTCCGGATGTCGTGGCTACAAAGATAAAAGTAAGAGTGCTGGTATCAGGAGCACTGAATTCCAAGTCGCACTGTAAATCCTTACCTCTAACACAAACATACCCAGCCTGGAGAAAGCAAGCACCTTGGAGAAGGGAGCCGGGGCAGCAAACACCCTTTGGTATGTGGCTGACAAACACCTGCAGCCTAGAAAAAGTTAAGCAGTTTATGGCCAGTGCTCTGGCTTTGCTTATGGCCAGGCTCTTCTGGGGAACCACGTGTCCGGTATTTCTGAAACTGAAGTTTGTCAAACTCCCCTAAAAGTATAAGGTTCCGGTATTTCTGAAACTGAAGTTTGTCAAAGTCCCCTAAAAGTATAAGTTTTTGTTGTTTTTTGCGGGTTTTTTTGTTTGTTTTTTTTTTTTTTTTAAAGAGCCAATCTGAATGTACACATCTGCCAAACCTGAGCTCTCCTCTACAAAAGGCTTTGCTGAGACCTCACAGCTGCACACACTTCTAGGGCCTGGGACAGGGCTGGGACAGATTCTGTAGTACCAAGGAGGCTCGGGGCAGGGACCTCCACCCTGGAGGGTTTGTCCAGCTGGGCAAGGGAGGAGCTGGGCACAGGTCACCAGAGGGGAGAGGTGCTGGTGAGGGCCTCACCAAGAAAGATGAGCACCAGCTCCCATGCTGCTGGTGGAACTGATGACCAGTGCTCAGCCCGCTCAGCCCAGCTGCAGAAACTCACCAAGCTCACGACAGCACAGGCAACCACCACCATTTTTTTTTCCTAAATGGAAAATCTCCTAGGTCAGTGCTGGAATATGAGACCTTTCAGGGGAGGAGAGTTAAAACTAGGGCTCCGACTAGTCACCTCTTCAGCCACAGGGCACGTGTGTGACATCTTAGGTCCCTAGCACCTGCTTCAGAAAAACATGGCTTGTTTTGAGCAAGACCATTTGGCATCAATGGGCACCTTCCCATCACTTTTATCTGCACATTTGCCCCCAGGATTCCTGCCCAAAGCCAGCCACATCTCTTGGAACAGACGGCAGGGAGGTCCAACACGTGCACTGGGGCCAAGCAGACAGCATTGGTACAGCAGTAGTTTAGAAATCATCTCTCCCCCTGTGTGGCACTGACATAGGTGCTTTTCCATTTAGGGACCACCCCTGAAGCTGTAGAGCTGGAAGCTGAAACAGGAAGATGGCAGAGACCCAGGCTTTCTTACCTGACCAGACATAAACTTGCTCAGTTGATTCCACTTGTGCTGGAGATCCTGCTCTCTCAGGATGGCACACTGAGGCATCTGCGTGAAGACCTATGGCTGTAGCACTTGAGCCCTGGCCTGCAGCTAAAGGCTGCTTGGTCTTTAACAGACAAGCTGTTTGGCCTACAAAGGGAATGATGATTTTCTGTGGAAACTGCTCTACATATGATGCAACCTCTGTACCCTTGTAAGGTAGAAACTCTGCACTCATAATTGGCTCACCATCCCACTGCAGTTTTACAGCCTTAATGGCTGAGGTGGCCTCAGCTTCGTTGCAGAAAGGCACAGCCTGCAGTGGATCTTTAAGAGCAGGTGATGGTGGTCCTGATGGTGCTGGTTCTTTCCACAAGGTGACCATGGAACCTTGATCTAGGTCATTTGTTGAAACATCAGCCTGGCTGTCTGAGGGCCCTAGTTCTCCAGCAATGGAGGACTGACTCCACGCTCCTGGTTGTGACCTAACAGCCTCTACAGAAGCCTCAGCTGCTGGGACAGCAGAAGCATCTTCGGCAGCACCTTCTCCTGGTGCCAATTCATTCTCTGAGGTCTGAGAGTCTTCTTGAAGAGTCTGCACGCTGGTTGCCACATCCCTCACAGAATAAAAAGAGCCAGTGTTACCTAGCACGTGGGCAGCAAGCTGGGTAGCCTCAGCGGGGACGTACACCAGTTCAGGTCCCTCAGGGGATGCAGATCTAGCAGATCCAGGGGGGAAATTGCTTTCTGCAATGAAACTGGCGTTTGATGGGTGTTGAGTTACTTTGGAGCTATACTGAATTTCAGGTTCTTTAAGGAGCTGGTCTTCCTCTGTGTCGGTACACTTGTCCTTTCGCTTGTGCTCCTCAGAAAACAAAGTATCTGTGTGCTCTGTTGTCTTCTCTTCCAGTCCCTCACTCGCATTTTCTGCAAGGTAAAAAAAACACATAATGGCAATACAAGAGCAACTGTTTCCATTTAAATAAAATTAAGAGTGATTTCAGCACCAACTCAATTAGATGCTCTACAGCACGTTTATGAGGCTTGCAGAGATGGGATAATTTCAGGAGGGGGTTTGCTGCTTGCCTATCAATAAGGGAAAAAAAAAATATCAGAGAGCACTGGTACCACTTCACAACCCAGGAAGCTTTAACTGTGTTCCTGATCCTGCAGTGATGGCTACGTTCTTATCTGCTGCCCACAAACATTGCTAAACTTAAGGGTTAAACTTAAGGGTTAAACTTAAGGGTTTTAACTTAAGGGTTAAAAGATTAAAGCTTTTACATTAAGCACATCTCCAGCTAGAAGACTCCTCTTCTACAGCTCCTCTTTACAACATATCAGAACTCTTTGGATCCATACAAGTTATTTTAGATGCATAGATGGTGACATTTTAGCTTCCTCAAGAATCTTGATTAGTTGAACTAAAAGGTATCCAAGTGAAGAACATGGTAAGACATAAACAAGTTTTAGACAGAGTGAAAAGTGGCTTCTAGATTACTAATAAAGGAACACAAAAGACTATGTGTGGGATCAAAACAGTGTTCCACCACATGGTTAATAAAACCCTCGGCATTGGAAAAAAATGAACAAACCAAGAGGTCTGGTTTCTATCATGATCAGCAAGCGCTGGCCAATATTGTAAAACCAGCACAGGAGCAGAAAAGAAGGCGAGTCTTTGATACATCATCACAGCTCAGCACTGAGCTGTTTTCTCAAGTCACGAACAGATGAGATCAGAAATTACGAGAGAAGCACAACTCAAAGGATGCCAGAGCTAAATCCCCTCTGAAAAAGACATCCCAAGCCAACACAGACCCATTTACAATCCGATGTCAGTACCGGGCAATGCCGCAGAAAAGCAAGGCTCCCTTGCAGCTACGCAGACGAGGCAGCCACCTACGGGTGCACAACCAGTCTCAAAGCCCACAGTGGGGGGGAGACTCCAGAGGAAACCAGAGGGTCAGTTCACAGCCAGGTAAGCAAACCACGGACAGGAATTCAGACAGAAAATTCCTGTCTTTTGCAGCCACTCTCCATCATACTTGAAAAACGGCAGTCAAGCAAAGTCCCCAGTGACCAGACAAAAGGGAATATCGCACACATTTTTAGAAAAGGTAATAAGGAGGACTCCCAGAACTACAGTCCCAGCAGCCTCACCTCTGTGCTTGGTAAGATCATGGTACAGATCCTTCTGGAAGACACGTCAAAACATACAGTACACAGGGAAGTGATTAAAGACAACCAGTGTGGCTTCACCAAGGGCAAATCGTGCCTGACTATTCTAGTGGCCTTCTACAATGGTGTGACAGCATCAATAGACACAGTAAGAGCTACGGATGCCATCTACCTGGACTTCTGTAAGGCCTTTGATACAGTCCCCCACAACATTCTGGCTGCGGAATTGGAGAGAGATGGGTTTGATGGATGGACCATCTGATGGGTAAGGACTTGGCTGGATGGCTGCATCCAAAGGGTTACAGTCAACAGCTCAATGCCCAAGTGGAAACCAATAATGAGTGGTATATCCCTCAAGGGCATGTACTGGGACCAATACTATTTAATACCTTCATCAATGACAGAGTTGAATCAAGTGCTCCCTCAGCAATTCTGTGGATGACACCAAGCTGAGTGGTGCAGTCAATTCACTAGAGGGACAGGATGCCATCCAGAGGGACCTTGACAAGCTCGAGAAGTGGGCTTGTGTAAACCTCATGAAGTTCAATAAGGCCAAGAGAAGTTCAATAAGGCCAGTGCACCTGGGTTGGGGCAATCTCCAGTATCAGAATGGACTGGAGGTAGAACAGATTGAGAGCAGCCTTGCGGGAAAGGACTTGGGGGTACTGGTGGATGAAAAACTGGACACGAGACAGTAACGTGTACTTGCAGCCCACACGGCCAACCATATTCTGGGCTACATCAAAAGAAGTGTGGCCAGCAAGTCAAGGGAGATGGTTGTGCCCCTGTACTCCACTTTGGTGAGACCCCACCTGAAGTACTGCATCCAGCTCTGGGGTCCTCAGCACAGGAAAGGCATAGAACTGTTGAAGTGAGTCCAGAAGGGCCACAGAAATGATCAGAGGGCTGGAGCACCTCTGCTGTAAGGACAGGCTACAAGAGTTGGGGCTGTTCAGCTTAGAGAAGAGAAGGCTCCCTGCAGACCATATTGTGGCCTTTCAGTACTTAAAGGGGGCTTATAAGAAAGATGGAGAAAGACTTTTTACCAATGGCTGCATTGGCAGGATATGGGGAAACAGTTTTAAACTGAAAGAAGATAAATTTAGATTAAATATCAGGATATTTTTATTATTTTTTTTTTTTACAATGAGGGTGGTGAGGCACTGGAACAGGTTGCCCAGGGAAGCTGTGGATGCCCCATCGCTGGAAGTGTTCAAGGTCAGGTTGGACAAGGCTCTGAGCAATCTGATCTAGTGAAAGATGTTCCTGCTCAGGGCAAGGGGGTTGGACTAGATGATTTTTAAAGGTTCCTCCCAACCCAAACCATTCTGTGATTCCACAATTATGCAGAAAATTGCTGTGTGGTATCATTAATGCAACATTTGCAAACGCACCAAAATTCAGCCTTCAGTGACACTTTAAGTAAGTCACACTGCAGCACCCACCAGTCATTTTCACAAAACTGTTTTGAAGTGGTGAAATCTGTAGTAGTTAGCTTTTTTAGAGGAGACCCTAAGCTAGGAATAAGATAGTAGCCCTTTCTGCTCATAGCTGGGGCTTCTCTTCGTTGCTGTGATTACCTTAGTGGACAGCTTTCAATCTATAGACCAAGGCTGTCTTAAGTGCTGGCTGGTTCCAGGGCTACCTGAAACCCACCTTAAGTGGCCTTTTTGACTAAAGGGCATATTCGAAGCTACTGACACTTACAGTGACCAGACAATGGAGACCCAAACCAGTGGGGGAGACGCAAACAGGCTGTGGGCTAGGCCATGCACCCCTATCACTGCTCCCACACATCCTTCAGGTGGCATCATGTATTCCAGCCCTTACATCCAAACCTAGGGAGGGCACTTCCCAAAGGAATCAGCGTCCCACAGAACTAAACTGCCTTTTTAGAAACAAAGAGACACAATATCTATTTGCAAAGAATAGGCGTGAAGTCGCTGTCTGCTTAGCAGGCGATAAATTGCACTACAGTATCTTAAAATTAAAATGATCAAAGGCATCCAGGCTCTCCTCTATACTCAAGGAGAAAGTGCAGCATCCCAGGGGACTAATTCTTCCCACATTAAATAGAAGCAAGTACTTTCTGAAAACGCCCACCTTTTCAACAGCCCAGAACCTCCCGCCCTCTTTCACGTGACCAGATACGGATGGGACGCAGCTCATAAAAAGTGAAAACTATCCACATCCATTCAGGTTGGAACATTGTCTCAAAATATGTTAAAGGAACAAACAGTGACTATCTTACCGCTAACGAACTCAAACTTATGAACCAGTTCTCTTATATCCAGATCTGGATGCCCTGCAAACAGAAGAAGGAACTGAGCTGGAGCAGGACAGCACTCTCCAATAGCTCAGCTCTTCAGATGAAGCACCGGGTAGGAACAAACCTTTTCGAAAGCTGATGAGCTCTTGGAAATAGAGAGCAAAAAACTCAGTAATGTCATTCGGGTTGTTTTCCATGACAGCCTGGCTCACCCCCTCAAGCAGGATCTTGAGGCCACGTGGAACCAGCGTGATCTTCGAAGACTGCATATTGGCCCACTCGAGCTGGCTTATGGTTTCTTGTCTGTGCAAACAGAACCCCTGGGCTGAGCACGTACCCTTCCCCAGCGTGAAGTGTCCAACACCAACTGCAGGATCGCAGCTGCCCATCCCCTGCCAAGCCATCATAACCCTCCTCCATCCCCTCCCCATCACTCCTCTAACTTAGAGGGGGCATTTACCATTTGCAGTGACCAAATCCTTTACTCTCCACTCTGCACCTTTAGGCAGCAGGAGACACGGCCAGGGCAGGCAGCCAACCAGGGAACTGAGATGTGAATTCAAACCCACACCCTGAATCCCTTGTTTTTAAAGATAAAACCCACCAAAGGACCCCCGATGAGCCAGAAAAGCCATTTGCATCCAAGCAAAAAGTTTACCAGATGCTTCTTTGTCCATCCCCCCTCCCTCCTCCTCTTCCATCCCCTCCGGTACTTGCTTGCTCTTGGTCCTGGCCTCCTGCTGTGGCCCCTGATGTCCTCACCCAGCACCCCGGGGCTGTTGACACCCAGTTGGGAAGGCATGATGTCACAGTGCCCATGTGTCATCAGCGTGGCACAGCAGCGCTGAGGTTTGGAGCCAACATTACTGTGCTCCGGTATTACTGTTAATTGGTCAAAAACCATGGGGGGGGAAAGGAGTGGGAGGCAAAACACACAATTACAATTCACACTGAGCAGAGCGCTCTGCAGCCGGGTGATGCTGCCACTTATAGAATGGTTTGGGTTGGAAGGGACCTTAAAGACCAATCGAGTTTCAACCCCCCCTGCCCTGGGGAGGGACACCCCCACCAGACTGGGTTGCTCAAAGCCCCATCAGCAGGGGCTTTCCTCCTGCAATAAACACCTTCTCGGTATCCCACAAGAATCAGTGCATGTAACGGACATGCCCGTCTGAGCACAGCTCTATTTATAATCCTTTTAGTAATATGCTTTAAGATCCAAGTACAGTGCCAGGGCTGCAATTGCTCAGGGCATGCAGCAGAAGGCTGAGCACCCATGGGTGCTGCCTGCCACAGGAAGCGTGAGCACCCCATGAGCTGCTGCGTGTCCCCCCTTCCCGCCCTGCTGTCAAACTCATTCCCACCTTCTGCCACCGTGGACTTGCCTTCAACCAGCTGCACCCACAGCGCAGGCAGAACCCCTCTCAGGACGTGTTTCACCTTTGCCGAAAACACCCGTTTTCCTCCCCAGGAGCAGGCAGCCCAACCAGACGTTTCTTCCCGGCAGAGGAGGAGCGTAACTCTGTGCCCAGTCTCAGGTGAAGGGGATTTCACACCATCCAAGGCTGCAACCTGTGGAAAGCAGAAAGAGGGCAGCCATGTCTCTGCCAGCCCTGGTGGAGCTGGTGGGCGCACAGACCACCCCCGCGGTCACAGCCTGGCCTTTTAAGGGAGGTGACATCCAACACCCAAGGGACTTAAAACCACGTAACAGACTGCAAAATACGGCCCCCGAGAAGCCAGGTTCTGTGGTGACCTCTGGCAGGAGCTCCGAGCGAACGGCTGGGGACTGTAACCTCCTACACCCAAAGAGGAACGAGATCATTCCCGAGTACGGCTCTGTCCATACGGCAGAACCTTACAGCTGCAAGGCCAAAACTGGAAACAAACCCCAACAGCCCCATTAGTAGCATCTGCTTTCCAGTACGTATTTCCAGTGGATACACACAAGATCATTTTCAGTTCAAACAAAACAAGCACAAAAAAAGGTAACTGTATAGTGCTGTATTTTCAAGGTTACCACTGACTGGGTTTCTGAGGATCACATTTCCAGTGGATACACACAAGATCATTTTCTGTTCAAACAAAACAAGCACAAAGAAAGGTAACTGTATAGTGCCGTATTTTCAAGGTTACCACTGACCAGGTTTCTGAGGATCACGAAGGCAGGAAGATCATGGGGGAAGCCACGATCAGGAGTCTGCTGTGGGATAAAAGCTTTTACTCGCCAACAAGGCTACAGATCAATCTTCATCAAAGTTGGAAAGCCATCATCTGCCTACCTGCCCTTGCATTCCTGGATGTCTGCACCTCTGCAGAAACCCGAGGGGAATTCCAGCAGCACTGAAGATTTAAGACTCAAGTATCATTGCTGCTAAAGCGTTTAGACTATCTACAATAGCTTCCTTTAATAAGTAACATATTATTAATAGGTCATTCAAAATTAATAGATTATTATATCACTTTCAAGTTAGTTGAAACATACTGGAAAGTATATTAATGGTAACTCACCACAAAATGCTTCTTCCATTAAAGAATACTTAAAAAGTAATTTCTCATCAAGAAAACTTCTCACAATAGCTCATCAGTCCTGGAGAGTGGCAACACAGACTAGAATATTAAAAAAGTTAAATATGAATATGTTATGACTTACAACATTAGGAAAAATAGCTTTGCTATAGAAAGAATAAGATACACTTCAAGAATATAAATAAAGACTAGAAGATGCATTATTTCTGGAGACAGGATTGTACTCTGAAGTCCAGAGTTCTGCACGGAGAGCATATGGAAGCAACAGGACTTCATGGAGGCATTAAACATACCTGGGTGCAGAGACAGCCACGTGGGTACTTTGAAACCGTCCTCAATGAGCACAGATCAGAAGAGAACTTGTAAACTTGCTCCTTTTGAAAACTTTCAAAATTCTAGGTCTGTAAAACTCTGCACAGCAAAGGCTTCAAATACATTTAAGTACAGACATCATAAACCACAGAAAAATTTATTATCAAAGGTAACAGAACAGAAGCATAAACCTCCTTAAATACCTAAAAAAGCTTCAGGCCCCAACATAAAAGTGTGTCTGTCTGAAACTTAAAAAGAGCTGTAGGAGAAAATATGTCTGGAAACTAATTCACCCTGCTGGAACTCAAATGTTGTTTTTGGAAGCCATCTAGAGTAAATCCATCATCTGAAGCGTACCGGCTGCTCCACTAAAAGCTCTTGCCCTTTGGACCCAGACTGAAGAGCCCGTCAGCCCAAGAGCAGTTTGCCCAACTGGAGGTTGCCCCATCTCCAGAAGTCACAGCTTCCAGACAACGTTAAAATCTTAGAAGACAGAGATTGGACAGTTCAGCAAATCAAGCTCCCAGACAAGTCATATTTTTCAGCCAAAAAAAATAATAAAATCAAGCCATTCAATTAGGTATTTCACAACAGGTTAATTAATCACACTGGTTGGGGGCTTGTGCAGACAAGTCATATTTTTCAGCCAAAAAAAAATAATCAAGCCATTCAATTATGTATTTCACAACAGGTTAATGAATCACACTGGTTGGGGGCTTGTAGGGTGTGTTCAGTTTTGTTTGGGTTTTGTTTTGTTTTTTTATAATTGCAACCACTTTCAAAATTTCAGCTAAACAGGCAGGAGAAGAGGACTTGCATTTATTGCAAGCATCATCTCTGTGTTTCTACCTGCCAGAGACTCCAGTGGAATTCTAAGTGGGGGGTTGTATCCATATGCAAAAATCTCCATGAAAATCTTCCTGCTTTTCCTACCAAAGGTACTCAATTTCCTTAAAGTGTCTTTATGGGCATCTCTCTGACTCTCTTTGTCTTACCCCTTCCTGGGGGCCTTTGCTACAAGTGAGAAGTATCTGTCCCAGCAGTACAATTATCAATTATCTTTTCTCAATACAGTAAACATATTGCTTTTAGTGAAATACTGGAAGGCATTTGTTACATAAATAGTTTTGCTCAGCAAAGTCTGACAACATTCTCTCCCTCTCTTCCCCTCTCAAATATTCGGCTCAAATGAATTTTAGTTTTCATTTTTTGGGTTGTTTTGGTTTTGTTGGTTTTTTTTTTTTCCCCTCTGTAAACCTCTTCCCCTGGGAGCCCCTCTGGGCATCTCCCACCGACAAGCACAGCTTGCCAAAAAATGACCAAAAACTACTGAGGACCAGCCAGTCCTGCTGAGCTTAACAGCCCACTTGGAACACCAGATTGAAGAGGTCACATTAAAAGGTAAACAGCATTTTGGAAAAAAGCAGCACTGACAAAAGTAGAGGTAACAGTAAGAAAACTGAACATGAACTCCCCATGCCTAAAACACACTGGAGGTTAAAACAAGGGGCTAAACAGGTCATGAAAATCTCAGGTAATTAAGTAAAAAGATTCCAAGCAGAAGCAGGGAGGCCATATGCAACTCTGATATACACCTACCCTGGTAACCTATGGCAGGTCCAGTTTTGGTGTCCAAATGTACATTAAAAAGTGGTGAAAAATAGAAATAATTCAGTATTTAAGTTTGGAAAGGCTGCTTCAAGTTGAATTTTTTACTCTTGCAAGAAACTCAGTGTAGAAACAGCAAGTGCTCATGCTTTATGAATCCCTGTATAGAATACCAAGTTTTAACTGTTCTTCAGTCAAAATAACTAGAACTGGAACTTGTCTGTATATTTCCATCTTTTGTAAGTCAACTTTGCCAGAAAAAAAGTACTTTCTGAAGCAGTTTTTCTAGCTCACCTCAAAATGCTAGAATGCAATACAATATTGTATATGCATCTACTCAAATTGTAATTAGCAGAGAAACAATTCCCTCTCCTGCCTTTTTTTCTGAACTCCTAATTTATATAAAATAATTTGTTTTACAGTTCCCTCCAGATGAAGGATCAGAGTCAATATAGCCATACTTCTTACTCCTAAATTTCAGTGGAGCCTACCATTTCTGTTCCAGGCTGCCCGCAAAGCCCCAGTGGAGCCAAGGACTGGAGAGCTGGTCAGATGCCACTGGCCGCCCAACTGCCTTAAAGGAAAGCTAAGTATAAATTTACTTCTTAACGTTAGCTTTAATAATACTTGCTTGGGATTGCATCATTTTTCATGCAAGAGATTTTCACGATTGCTACCACTGTTGGTATTTTGTAATGATGACTGGAGTTCTCCATCCTAAGTGACACCACGTACGGCCCGATGCCAACCTAACGCTTGCTCCTGGTCAAACCTCAAACAGTCCCAGAGCAGTTTTTAAACATGAGTACACTGGAAAGACAATCAGATCATTGTGAATTGAAAAGCAATTCAATACGACATTTGGGGAATTTTATTTAAGAATAAAGCATAACTAGAATATGAAACAAGCATTCAAAGTCAGAGAGAGAGGAAATTAAAGTGCTTGCTTTAGAGTAAATCGGAAACATTTTTTTCAAAGGTGTAGGAATACAGCAAATACAATTATGTGTGGTTCCTTAATGAAGAACAAGTAAATGTGATGTCTTAAAAAACTGGAGGTTGCCCCATCTCCAGAAGTCACAGCTTCCAGACAACGTTAAAATCTTAGAAGACAGAGATTGGACAGTTCAGCAAATCAAGCTCCCAGACAAGTCATATTTTTCAGCCAAAAAAAATAATAAAATCAAGCCATTCAATTAGGTATTTCACAACAGGTTAATTAATCACACTGGTTGGGGGCTTGTGGGGTGTGTTCAGTTTTGTTTGGGTTTTGTTTTGTTTTTTTATAATTGCAACC